TGTGCAACCATCATCATTATCTAATTCCAGAACACTTTCATCACTCCAGAAAGAAACCCTGCCCCACTGAGCAGTCCCTCTCCATTTGCCCCTTCCGCCACCCCTGTGCCCCGCTGGCAACCATTAATCTGCTTTCCTTGTCTATAAATTTGCTTCTTCTGGACATTTAATATAAATGGAATTATACCACATGTGTCCTTTTATGCATCTAGCTTTTCAGTATGATGCTTTCAAAGTTCATGCATGTAGCAAATATCAGTATGTCATACATTTTTATGCCAATTCACTTCCCATTATATGGATAATATCACATTTTGTTTCTCCTTTCATAAGTTGATGGACATATGTGTTGTCTCCACTTATTGACTATTACAATTAATGCTGCTGTGGTATACAAGTATCTGTTTGTGTCCTTCTTATCCTGCTGTTTTTATTGAATTTAAAAAATGTGTGTGTGTGTGTGTGTGTGTGTGTGTTTCTATTTTTAAAGAAATAGAACAAAATATCATGAGATTTGGCCCTGGTTGGGTAGCTCAGTTGATTAGAGTGTCATCCTGATATGCCGAGGTTGTGGTTTTGATCCAGTCTGGGCACATATAGGAATCAACTAATGAATGCATAAATAAGTGAAACAAAAACAAACAAACAGTGGTCTCTCTCTCTCTTCCTTTCTCTCTCTTTATAATCACTAAAAATAAATTTTAAAAATTATGTCATCAAATTGATATGGAATCAGAAACCCAGAATAGCCAAAGCAATCCTGAGAAAAAAGAACGAAGTTGGAGGTATCACACTCCTGACTTCAAATTATATGCCAGAGCTACAATAATAAAAACAACATAGTATTGACAGAAAACAGACACAGACCAATGGAACAGAACTGAGAGCCCAGAAATAAAACCACATGTATATGGGCAAATGGTTTTTTGACAAAGAAGTAAAAAATATACAATGGAGAAAAGAAAGCCTCTTCAATAAATGGTGTTGGGAAAATTGGAAAGCTACATGCAAAAGAATGAAACTAGGTTACTGTTTGCCCCTTATACAAAAATTAATTCAAAATGGATCAAAGATCTATAATAATAAAAGCATAATATGCTAATTAGATTGGACAGCCAAACGACCTTCTGGACATCATTCTGGACATCCTTCCGGGCAAAGCCGTGGTGGCAGGGGCCAATGCAGAGGCAGTTAGGGGTGATCAGGTAGGCAGGCGAGCAGTTAGGAGCAATCAGGCAGGCAGGTGAATGGTTAGGGGCTATCAGGCAGACAGGCAAGGAGTTAGTGACAATCAGACAGGCAGGCAGTTAGGAGGCAGCAATCCCAGATTGCGAAAGGGATGTCCGACTGTCAGTTTAGGCCCAATCCCGCAGGGATTCCTGCAAGATTGGGCCTTCCCTGCAGGATCGGGCCCTAAACCGGCAGTCAGACATCCCCCGAGGGGTCCCAGATTACAAAAGGGTGTAGGCCAGGCTGAGGGACCTTCCCATCCCTTGCACAAATTTTATGCACTGGGCCTCTAGTCTAAATATAAGAGCTGAAACAGGAAGTTACATAGGAGAAAACATAGGTACTAAGTTTATGGTCCTTGGTCTTAGAGATAGTTTTATCTTCCCACAGGCAAGGGAAGTAAAGGCAAAAATAAATGAATGGGACTATATCGAACTAAAATGCTTCTGCGCAGCAACAGAAACACTGCCAACAAAACAAAAAACAACCAATCGAATTGGAGATGATATTTGCAAACAACAGCTTTGGCAAGGGATTCATATACAAAATATATAAAGAACTCATACAACTCAACACTAAACAAACAATCCAATAAGAAAAATGGGCAGAGAGCCTGAACAAATACCTATCTTAGGAAGATATAAAAATAGCCAACAGATACATGAAAAGATGCTCAACTATACTAGCTATTAGGGAAATGCAAATCAAAACTACAATGAGATATCACCTCACACCTGTTAGAATAGCTATTATCAACAACACAAGTAATAACAAGTGTTGGAGAGGTTGTGGAGAAAAGGGAGCCCTTATTCGTTCATGCTGATGGGAATGTAAACTTGAACAGCCACTATGGAAAACAGTATGGAGGCTCCTCAAAAAATTAAGAATGAAGCTTCTGCCCTGGCTGAGTGGCTCAGTTGGTTGAGCATGGTCCCAGGCACTGAAAAGTTGCCAGTTCAATTCCTGGTCAGGGCACATGCCCAGGTTTTTGGCTTAATCCCCCCAGGAGGGAGTGTGTAGGAGGCAGCCAATTGCTGTCCTCTCACATTCATGTTTCTCGATCCCTCCCTCTCCTTTCCTCTCTCTCTAAAAATCAATTTAAAATATTTTTTTTTAAAGAATGAAGATTCTTATTCACATTAGAACTGAAGCATAATCTTGCCAACTTTTCTACAATCTCCATTCTTTCACAGAGCACTTTAGGCCCCTCCATCTAATATACATTTTTTGGTTTTGCACTATAGCACCGTTACTAACAATTACCAAAGCCTTTTCTCTGTGAGCTCCCACTGATTTCTGAATTACTGGAGAACAAAAAACTTGTCTTTTCATGAAAGTGTGCTAAATATCTCTCAGTATATATTAAGCAGTCAAAATAAAAGGCATGCAAAGAAAGTAATATATCTACTTTTTAAAAATTCCATTACCATCTTTTTTGTATGAGTCATTCTCAATTAAAATAGGTACTAATCAATGAAAACAATGAACTATATACAGGCAAATTCATAGAGACAGAGAGTAGTAGATTAGAAATGACCAGAGGCTGCAGAAAGGGAAAAATACAAAATTATTGCTCAGTGGGCACAGTTTCTCTTTGGGGTTATGGAAGAGTTTTGGAAACATAGTGGTGATGTTTGCCCACATTGTGAATGCAATTAATGATGCTGAACTGTACACTTAAAATGGTTAAGATGACAATTTTTAGTCTATATATATTTTACCACAATGAAATTAAAAATGAATTATTTACAAATAGGAAACACACTGAATTATTCAAGATAACTAAATACATATTTTCTAAAAAGGAAAACTGTTTTGCTAAATAAAGAATTCATAAAAAGGAGCTCAGTAATCAGTCTTAGAAACAAATACAATTGTAGCCATACACTTTTCATTTATTCTCATTTATGTAACATATTGCTGCAACAGAAATCATCATTAATGAAATGAATTTAAAAAGTGAATGAGTGAAAGGGTAACCAGGCTGTGCAGTGAGAAGAGCCTCCAATCTTTACTGAGACAGGAGGGAGTCCGGGGAAACTGAGGCCAGGGCAGCAGCTGCAAGGTGACGGTGCTGGTGGTGGTGGGAGAGGTAAATGAGATGAGGATGTCCTTGGGGAGGAGACTTCTCAGCAGATGTGGATTCCGGGCCTGGAAGGGAGCTGGCAGCAGCCTGCGGGGAGATATGGGGAATGAGAGGCTGAGACAGAGAAGTGAGAGACACACCTGGAAGAAGGAACAGAGGTGGGTGGAGGAAGACTGAGAGAGGAACTGAGGCCCAGAGGGGGACAGACACCTGGAGAGTGGCCAGAGATGGAAACAGAAGTGAAAGGAATCAAAGCCATGGCATAGTAGGCTAAGGAGACAAATAATAATAATAATAATAATAATAATAATAATAATAAGTGAATGAGTGAATAATTGAATGATTAAATGAGGCACCATCTATATCAGTGGTTCTCAACCTTCCTAATGCCACAACCTTTTAATACAGTTCCTCATGTTGTGGTGACCCCCAATTTCATTGTTACAAATTGAACATAATTAAAGCATAGTTATTAATCACAAAAACAATATGTAACTATATATGTGTTTCCCGATGGTCTTAGGCAACCCCTGTGAAAGGGTCGTTCGACCCTCAAAGGGGTCGCAACCCACAGGTTGAGAACCGCTGATCTAGATGATTAGACATCTAAGGCCGAATGCCTGGGCATAGCTGGGCTCAGTTTATCACTCTGCTGATCACAGGCAGACATTAGCTGGTAAAACAGTGGGCAGCCCACATGTACATGGTACATAGTCATTCATTTTTAGTAGGAAGTGGCAGAGCTTAACAGTCAGAGGGCTTGGGGGTCAGATCGACTGGATTTGTGCCCTAGATCTACCTCATCTTTTGAGGCCAATGTAAGATTTTTAATCTTGCTGAAGTGCAGTTTCTCATCTAACAAATAACAGGAAAAATACAACATTATTGCTTTTTTGTGAGGGTGATCAGCATGTGGTGGAGGCCAATCATATAAAAGTCTCTACTTATAGCAGAGAGTACAATAAGTATATGTTAAACAAGTAGTCATTCTAATAATAAAAGGGTAATATGCAAATTGACCCTAATAGTGGAACTACCAGGATGACTGATCGCTTTGATGCACACTGACCACCAGGGGGCAGTCGCTTAATGCAGGAGCTGCCCCCTGGTGGTCAGTGCGCTCCCACAGGGGGAGCTCCGCTCAGCCACAAGCCGAGCTGAAGGTTTCAAGCGCAGTGGCAGTGGGAGGAGCCTCTCCTGCCTCCTTGGCAGTGCTAAGGATTTTCTGCCTCCTTGGCAGTGCTAAGGATGTCTGACTGTGAGAGGGCGCAGGTTGGGTTGAGGGAGGGACCCCCCCCCCCCAAGTGCATGAATTTTCTTGCACCGGGCCTCTAGTTTTACATAAAATACCATGATTTCTAAAAATCAATTTAGTACCAGATATTGTTTGTGTGAACATTTATTTCTTTCTTGAGGCCTAACTTTATACTTCGCATACTTGGTAACAGATGCAATATTATTCCACCTAAAGTTTCAGGCTTTGGGGAAATACCAATCATGTTCAGAGCACCCCTTATTGTGAGCAATTGTAAATTATCTTTCCCCAAAAAATATGCAGTTAAAATTGAGACACATTTTTTTCCCTTAAAATGGGAGTCTGATACACATTGATTTCCATGTGGAATTTTTTCTAATCATCGTTTCTTTTTCTGTTTCCCTTTCTTACATGCTGACTTCTGTGTAGCAGACCACTTGGGGATTGAATTCATGGGTAAGAATAAACATTTGCTTCTTAAATATCTGGGAAAATGTGAAGTTTGAAATGTTTTTGTTCTCCTTTTCCATCTAATTATACTTGAAATGTTTCATTATCAGATGCTATTAGTAGAAAAAATGTTTTTGTCTATTTTTCACTAAGTAATGGCTCAAAATGAAAGGCTTAACTACTTATTGGGAAGTCAATTTAATGTTAAGTGCAGCTCTGGAATCCTACAGAAGTTAGATTTGGCTCCTGGCTTTGATTGTTTGCTCTAATTCTCAATTTTCTTATCCGTAAAATAAGGATAATAATCGTTCCTCTTTTACTGCATGTATAAATTGCTTAGCACAATGTTTACAAGATGGCAAACACTCAATAAAAGATAGAGAATAGCTGTGATGGTTTAAAAATGTCACTTTTGTTATTTTCTGCTCTAATTCCTTTTCCTTTCACATGATGATTGCTTTGGATACAGTTTGGTACCAATCTTAATTGTGAGTATGGACTATAGAAACTTTTCATTTTACAAAATTAAAATATTTCTTTTGAAAGTACTTGCAGTGAATGGCGTGTTTTTAAAAGCATTAGAATGCCTTCCACGGGAATTATTCTCTATATCCATAGATAATTACATTAAGAATGGGTCACACTTTTCTGAGTCTAAATTAAAAATACAATGGATAAAAAGGTTTTGCATGAGGTTGATATGCATCATGGTGCTGAAGTGGAAAGATCCTTAAGAGTTGAAGTTAGTTAAATGGAGATGACCTAAATTTACTTCCAAACTCATAATTCTCTGCTTAATTGACGTTTGTTAAGCTTTCAATTTTCTCTTACATGGTAAGGATATGAATACTTGCTTCATACATAATATGTTTATTGTAATACATACATTTACTTGTATTCATTTATTCATTTACCTATTTATTCAGAAAATATTTATCTAGTGCTTGCTGTAAGTAAAAAAAAAAACAACTGCAAAATGCTAGAGATAAAATACTGAGTAAAAATGGACTAAAAAATCCTTGTTCAATGGGGCTTACAGTCTAGTAAATTTACAGATGATAATCAGGTAATAATACTGATAACTATAAAATTGCAAGTTTCTTAATACCAATGCCAAGCAAGATATAGGATAGAAATGATAGATATTTAAAATATGATATCAACAAGTAGTTGAGACAAATTGAGGTTGCAGGTTAGAAAAAGGAAATTCCTAGGATGACTGCAGGATTTATAGTTTTCATATTTAGATAAAATGTGGACCCATCTACTGAAAAACAATACTGAGAAAGGAACAAATTTATGAGAAATGTTTCCTAGATTAAATTAGGAAATGTTGAGTTCTGGATGCCTTTGTTATATCTGGGAGATGTCAATTTAGTGGTTGTATTGCTGGAAGTTTTAGGGTTACTTAGTGATTAGTGATTGCATCTTTAAATGGGAATTGAATCTCTCTGTTGTGTGATATTATTTATTAGTGCTCTATTATCTCAGTATTAGATTATAGAAAAAGCGGACAACACAGCTTAACTCCTGCAGGTTGGGATTTTTTAAATTGAGGTGATAAAACTCCTAAGGGCGATGAAATTGAGGATAATATTCAAATGAAGCTTTCTGGAATGTAAGGTGTGTGTGGAAAGAAGTGAAGAAAGGGTGTTTTATCTCAATGGAATCAATGAGTAGTCATCATGGGAGTAATCAAAGTAGTTGTGGGCATGGAAAGGAAGCTGTAGTCATATGGGCTAGGAAGTACAGAAATTTATGGTCATGGTCAAGCAGTAGACTATAAATTGTATGTTGAGAAGGACACATGATTGGTTGATACTTTCCTCATTTACTGATGATGGTAAGGATGAGCAGCAACGAGGTTCCAGCATCAACAGTCACTTTGAGAATGATGGGTACCGGCCATAATGGATAGGAAATTTGCCCCATTGGACTGTGGTGATTGCAGGCTTTGAGGATAGAGGCTTCAGTTCAGTTTATGTAGCACAGTGACTGCAGATGCAGGAGATAGCTCATGGGTGGTGGGTGGGGATGGGTAGCTTCAGATCCCACAAGTGGGTGGTCATGGTTATAGTAAACAGAAATTGCTACATCAATGTTGATTATCACTGCTGAAAGTGATAATTAACTTTTCCTTAGGACCTCTAGTCCTGAAGACACTGGCACCTTATAGCATAATAATTTGCTAAAGAACCAAGATATGTATTAAGAGGTCTATTAAAAATTTAAAATAATGAACTAACCAGTTGGTAAAAAGTACAAAAATATTATGTAGATCATCTATATGCAACTCAAGACTAAGAACATAGTGAATCTTGCTGTAAAGCCTTCTAGGCGATGTGAATATTGACTCCAGCAGTAGAGATTGCCATGGAGGAAAGGGGATGGGCAACAAGGAGTTGAAGGGAGGACATATGCATATAGATAGTGGCGACTAATGAAGGACTGTTTGTAATTTTGAACAGGTTAGTAAATAAACTGTTTTTGCTGATCTCACTAGTTCTAGACACTATTTACCCTCACAGGTTGCTCTAACTGAATATGTAAAATTATTTTTGTTGCTTTGAAAACAAATATTTTCATATTTAACTTGAGAGTTTAGAATTCACATAAATAAAAGCTCTTCCATTGAAGGTGACATCATCCCAGTGACAAGGCATCTCTAGGTACCAATTCAGTTGGGAAGCAGAGATGTCGGCATAGCTTTAATCACGAAGGTATATTGTGGTGACGGAAAATGATCAGTGCCAGTTCTGCTTTAATCAGTTCTGAACACCTTTTCTCTCAACTTTATCATTCTTGCCGTGGGCAATGTTAATTTCATCTTGCCTTGAGTTGGAACATGGGTCACAAGGTGATAATCAGAAACACAGATGCCTTCTTTCCAAGTCTTTGTTACCCAGGAGCCACATCTATGCGCATCCTCGTTGATCAGACTCAAAACCTGAATGCTTCTTACAAATTCGTTTTTATAGCAGGGAACTCCAAGTCATATGCTTCAAGAATCTTATTATTATTTAACCAGCATACATGTATTGTACTATGTCCCAGATATATAAGATATTGAAGATACAGATATAAAACCCACATCCCTTTAAGTCTAAGGGCTCTGATCCTAAAAAAAAAGAGAGAAAGCTACATGTATTTGAGGTGATATAAGAGGTGCTATAAATAAAAATGACAGGCGAAATATAATAACGAAGCTAAATGGGCTTGGGAAGTTCAGAGACAGCCTCCCAGAGGAAGAAACATTTAAGCTGAGTACCAGCCAAAGCAGATCAACTGTGCCCAGTGAAGCCACAGTCCAGAGCTATACTTACTCGCTTCCGCTTGAGAGTGAGGTTTCTGCTTCAGTCTATCTGGTCTATGAGGTCTCTAGAGTCACTTCTTTCTACTAGAGAGAGACTATCAGCTGCACTAAAAACACTTAACCAAAAAGTTTTCTGAATCGATGTATTAATTGTAAAGAATAACTATCCTATTGAATAAGCCATGCCAAACCCAATGGCCATAAAACTGTCAGCATTCAAAAGGATTTTTCCTTAATTATGTTCATGAATTTCTCTTAATGGTGCTTCTGGGATTGCTACAAATGGAAATTTCAACAACAAATACCACTCTGGAATACAATTGTAGTTTTTAAAAAGTTAACTAATGTAATTTTAAGGTGCATGAAAACACAAAATTGTGAAATGTTTGTGAAAAAAATTAATTCATATTAAACCAATAATCAAAAAAGATTTTTGGAATTCATGACTTAGCCTGCTCATTCAGGCATGCATGAGGGAAAACTGAGAATCTTAGAGTCAGATGTTTGAACTTTTCCTCAAAGTGTGAACAGATCAGGAGATGGAATAGACAAGTACTCACTGAGGTGTGTGAGAAATCCAAGTGATAATCCAGATGGCCAAAGGGCACAGCAGGTTGGCAAAGTGTGGAAGGCACATTGATCATGCAGAGGCATGTCTCATCTGAGAACTATCTGGTTACTGTGTCGGGTGCTCAGTCATGGAGCATATCTCATTACATCCATTTAAGCTATTTGTCATGCGCTATTTCTCTGACAATGCCCTGACACATTGGATACTCTAGGCATCAAAGATGTTTGTATAAAAACAGGTGCAATGCCATTTGAAAACATATTAGCAAGCCACAGGGAGAGCTATGGATCTTGTAGAAAACCTTTCATGCAAATGTGATTCATTCTTATATGGAAAAATAAAACGAACTGTCAGTTAAATGTATTGTTTGTGATTTGACATTGTTTTTAGGATAGCATAATATATGCAAAATCTGAGTAAACTCTAGTATACATTTTTAAACATCAAAATTTTATGAAACTTGGGAAAAATCAGATTACTAGCTAAAATCTTTTAAATTTTCTCTGAAAGAATTTACATACTTTGAAGTTTAAGAAGAAACACTGAGTTTTATATAATGAGAGGCTTAGAAATGTTTACAGTTTAAATGTGTACAGATACAAAATTGACAGTTATTTCTTAAACTTTCCCATATATTGATTATCATATATTCATCCCCCAGGTAAAAACCACAAAAAACAAAAAAAATGTTTCTAACTCTGTTTGGGTTATATGAAGTGAGGATATTTTCCTTAATGTGACCTTGCTTATTTTGAATGAATTGGAGCATGTTCATTTAAATCTAACAGGCTCACATGTTGGTCAAATGAATTCATAAGATACCATAATTTTTGAATTTTATTAAAGATATACAAGTAAGGATCATTTTTCTCTGGGCTGAAATCTCTAACTTAGACTTATATGAACAAAGATGTTTTCATTCATTTGAATATATCATGTTTTGCTATAAAATAAAATTGGAATTTATGCACAAATACATTTGTATGTGTGTTTGTAGAGGGGTTATGATAAAAAATATTTGTTTAGTTTTTCTCATATTAAACTACATGAGAAATCACATATATCAGAGTAATATAAGTTAACATTATTTAATGCTTGACATGTGTCACAAAATTTACATTC